CTAAGCGTCTGTTGATATCACCAATGGCGTGATTGTAAATGAACTTCGGCTTGCCCTTGACCTCCCATCAGCCGCCACCCCAAGAAAAGACAATAAGGAAAAAACAAACAAAAAAGCTGACATCCATTTGAGATAGACTGTGGTTATAGATAAGGAAGATCAGAAATAAATATCAAAATTGTAGACATTTTGGAATGAAAAAAGTGGCATAATGCTGAAATTGTCCCTTTCATGTAAGTTATCCATTTCAAAAGATTAGGAACAATTATAGTGATTGACCAATTATTGATACTGAATATCGCTTATTAAATAATTCAAGAAAACGTAAATTAAGAAATATTCTCAACTCATTTTCAGGAATTGAGTGTTACCGATACATCTTTGACAATATTTATTGACATTTCAGTTGGTTGGACTGTTGAAATGAAATTAAAATAACTTGGAGAGTCGGACGATACAAAAATTGGTGATTGGTAATTTTAATGAGATGAAATAAGATTTTTTTTCTCTTTTCAAAACTTGAAATTTAAGTTATTTATCAAGTTCCACTGTGGTATTATCAATTAATTTTCACTGATTAAACAGTCATCCATCTAAAAGCATTAAAGAAATACAGCTAACAGTTTTACTAAACTTAACCGAATAAAATTATTATAGGAGCCGTGACATGACATTTCCAACATAGTGGTCAAATGACATAATCGTGGAACTGCAAAATCTAAATTGACGCAAAAATTTCTTGATAAAATTAGCACTGTGCAGTTTTTAGGTAAAAATCATGTTTTCTATGGAAAATTGATCTCATTACACCCGATTTTTTTTTGTACAACAGCGTATAAAATTAAAACTTTATTCGCAAAGGCGAAATAACGTCATCCAAAGCATGCTATTATATAGCACGCAACTAATCTGGCACCCCATGGCAGATAAAGCTTCGGCATGAGTAAAAATAACGGACACAACAGTCTGATTTTCAAGAAATACTTTCAAATCGTTGTAATAGTTTATGCTTATAAATGAAAGTCTGTTGTTTTTTTTTTTTTTGTTTTTTTTTCTTTAGGCCTAAATATTAATTTATGATTCTATAAATTTCCATATAAATATATTTTTTATCTTGTTCTTTAAAGCATAGTTCTCGATTCAAATACAATTACTGCACTTAAGTAATCATTTTTCCAACCGCAATGATGACGTTATTCCACTGTTAAACTCATTTTTAAGTAACGACTGTGCTTATAAACTTGTCCATGTAACCTTCAACCCCTGACAGAAACTCGCTTAATCGTATTATAAGTACCATATGAAAGAGAATTTTAAGGAAATTTTAAGTTGACCGATCTAATTTCATCTACCCAAACGACACTTGATATATTGTCCTCGCAACAGAGAACACTTTTACATTTCACATTTATTCATTTGATTGTTATTTTATTTCCAGTGTCAAGATGTTTTCCGAGTATTTCTTTTTATTCATGTATATAATAATATAAAGTGGCTGAAATACTTGAAATCAATCTGAATATACAATTTAATGTAAAACTAACAAGGAAGGTATTACATTACGTGGGTATCATTGTTTAATATAACGGACACTTGATAATAAGTGTATGTAATTAAGAGGCACTTGTAGTGTTAAGTGGATGTGTGTAAGACACTTGAAATGTTTGAAATCCCGTCCTGATTTATATAAAATTAAAGGGAAAAATTACACCAAATATTTGTGTATTGCTTTATAATTATTATTGCTGTTAAACTCGTTTAAGGAAAATGCATGCCAGTTTTGGTCAAAAATGGCTCTGGGTATATAAATAAGGGAGTGAAATAACCAGAATAAACATGGTTTGACTTGAAAAATTCTTTAACAATAATTACAAGCTGTATTTTATCATATCAACCGTTTAGGGTTCAATATTTTGACATACGTTTTACAGATTTGCTACTTTTCTTCAGTCCATATTTACGCGTGCATTATGAAATGAACTGAATGAGATAAATGTATAAAATTATTTGTTTTTTTTTTCATCAAAACATGATATTACTTTTTCGATATATCTTCAATCAACATTGTCAGGATTGAGCACAGCAGACCAGGTGTGGTAACTGAGGAAAACTCCTGATAGTGAGAAAAAGTGTATGATTACTGAAGATCATCACATATATATACGCAGAATCTCTGATAGTGAGACAAAGTGTATGATTACTGAAGATCATCACATATATATACCCAGAAAATCTGATAGTGAGACAAAGTGTATGATTACTGAAGATCATCACATATATACGCAGAAACTCTGATATTGAGACAAAGTGTATGATTACTGAAGACCATCACATATATACGCAGAAACTCTGATAGTGAGACAAAGTGTATGATTACTGAAGATCATCACATATATACGCAGAAACTCTGATATTGAGACAAAGTGTATGATTACTGAAGACCATCACATATATAAGCAGAAACTCTGATAGTAAGACAAAGTGTATGATTAATGCAGATCATCACATATATACGCAGAAACTCTGATAGTGAGATAAAGTGTATGCTTACTGAAGATCATCACATATATACGCAGAAACTCTGATAGTGAGACAAAGTGTATGATTACTGAAGATCATCACATATATACACAGAAACTCATAAACCTACATATGACCCTAACATTGTATATGTCAGCAGTCTAAGATACATTCACCTTTTGAAAAGCGTAAATTGATAAATTTTTCAAGTATGGATATAGTTATGGTGAGTAATTCATCTTAACTAAAATGCACAATGACCGAAAATGATCCAAACTTTATTAACATAAGTAGTACATATATTGATGATAGCAGAAATTTTAAAAGCTATGAAATATAACAAAATATGCAATAATTACCTAGAATTGCAATTATAGGTCAATCCCTCAATATTTGTATAGAACGTCTTGCCATGAATCAAATCGATGTTAAAATGTCACATTGGTGTGTCAGAGTGTATCCACGGGGAGCATGCAACGTTTTCAGTTGAAAAGATAAGGCCCTTAAGTAATCTGAAAATGTTCATTATGGAATTGAAAAAGTTGTTATAAACATTGAAGCAAATTAAACATTTTTTGTCAGACATATACAAAATTCAAAGTAAAAAACGGATGAAACAAAACGATATTATGATGACAGAAAAAATACATATAAATTCTTGAAGTTCTACTATGTTTTAAGTTATAAAAGTAGCGCTCTGAATACCGTTGAACATAAATATTGATAGTAAATGAAATAGAATTTGTTAAAACACGTATGATATCCTATGTTTAACAATTAGTCATCAATTGTTGAAACAATTTTTTAAATTTCACATTTAAATAAAAACAAATCTGGAAAAATAGTTGCAAGGAAGAAATTACTTAATTAACATCCTCATCACCATTTGAATTAAAATAATTAAATTAACATTTTAAATCTTTATAATCACTGGAGTGTTTTCATTTATATTTTATGCATACTAGTATATAGTAACCTGCACGCCTCTAGAAAGAAAGTCAAAAATGTTTTAAGAAAGTCAAATTTGAAATAGTTATACTGAACTTTTAAGAAAGCTTGGTCCAAAAATTAGTGAACATTTTATGTGCGATAACTGACTGATTTAGCAAAGTCAAAGTCAATATTTTATTTGCAATTCGGCAGAAACCTGCCTTTGGCAATACAAACATAAATATAAATATGGCAAACACACCATAATAAATACAACAAAAGCAAACATACATTGAATGAACATTATACACAACAATGCATATATTTTGTTTCGATAATTTTAGGTATATCGACAATTTAATACCAATCCAGGCAAATATCTAAGATTGTTTTAATATCTATTTTATAATTGTTCCTTTCTTCTATCAATTGCATATGTAAAGGATTTCGGATAACAACTAGACTCGAGTATGCGCTTCTATACAGTATATATCTTTTATTTTCACACATCAGCATAAAACAAAGCGATTCTCTGAAACAAATGATAAAGTAATTAACTAATACATTCATTTCTGATATAAACTTAACAAGTAAATAATAGAATATAATAATTAAATAATTATTTCCTATGACGAAGAATCTTAATAAACAGAAGTACAGTTAAAATCCATAAAATAAATAATCGTAACAATTGATTAAAATTAATAAATACTTCATTAGAAAATTCTTTTTATCCGTTAACAAATAAATAAATCAAAATAATTTAAGCAGCTATCATACCGACTATAATGTCTTTCACATCGAAACCTTTAAAATACAGTTTCAGCTTTAACGTTTAACGCCGCTACATATAACGGAAGTTACCTTTTAAATTCATAACAAACAATTACGTCAAAATGACGCGCTAAACTATTCAGCGCGTAACGTTAAATAAGTTGGCGCCAAACAACGCTTAACGTAAGATATATATTATATTTTTTAATTAGAATCGGTAATAAACGATTCTTACAGTGCCCTCCATGAAATATCTTAATTTCATCAAAATCATTTAATGTCAAATAACAATATATTATCGATACAAAAATGTAAATTGCAACGAACTTCATGTTCATTAGAATGATTATATTTGCAATAAATCATGCATTATATTAAAGTACTTGCTTATGTTTAAACAATCTATTTAATACACAGTATGTATCCTTTTAAACATTAACATAATCTTGTGAAATATTTTCAGCGTAATACAATAATTAGTCTGAACATTCTAAAAGGCACAACTTTGTGATTGGCCTTATCATAGCTGAGTCCCTAGTTTGAACTTTACATTTACGAATATGCCCATCCCTACCCTTAATGACTTCGGTTACTCTGCCTAGTGGCCACTGTCCTCTAGGAACACTATTGTCTACCACAAGCACAACGTCATCTACATGTACGTCTCTAGTTTCCCTTTGCCATTTCTGCCTGGCTTGTAGGGTTGGTAAATACTCTTTTACCCACCCTTCCAAAATATGTCCGCTAAATATTGGATTTGTCTCCACCATCTCTTGCTATAGATGTCTTCCTTTGTTAAAAATGCCGACTGGTAAACAAGGATTAGACTTCATTAAAAGAAGCATGTTTGGCGTGAGTGCCGGTAGGTCCCTCGGATCACTGCTTACATTAGTTATGGGTCTATCGTTGATTATTCGTTCAGTTTCGGCAATCAGGGTCAATAACTTTTCGTCTGTAAGGAGTTGTTCTCTCACAACAGCTTTGAGAATAGTACGCGTTGACCTTATCAAGCGTTCCCATGACCCGCCCATATGACTGGCATAGGGTGGGTTAAAGTGCCAGTCTACATCATGTTGCACAAGAAGTTGTTCGATTTTAGACTGGTTCCATTGTTTTATTGAGCTTTTTAACTCTTTGTCTCCGCTAACAAGATTCGTTCCGTTATCGCTATATAGCTTTTCTGGATACCCTCGACGACTTGTAAAGCGTTGATAAACAGCTATGAAAGAATCAGTTGTTAGACTGTGTGCTATTTCGATGTGGACTGCTCTTGTAGTTAGACAACAAAAGAGACATCCGTATCTTTTTAACCAAGTTCTACCTGATTTCACTATCAAAGGGCCGAAGTAGTCTACACCGACATAGGTGAATGGGGGTTTATCGAGGGTCGTCTGTTCTTTGATCAAGGGCGCCATCTGTTGCCTAAGAGGTAGACTGTGTTGTCGCTTACATATAAAACAATCTCTGATAACTTTCTTTATAGTACTGGGTCCCTTTAATATCCAGTATTTCGTCCGTGTTTCAGCAAGTACATGTTGTTTACTAACATGTCCGTTTGAATTATGGTAATGACGAATAATCAATTCTGTCACGTGACTATCGTGCGGAAGGATAATCGGGCACGTATCATATTCTTTATGGGTATTTCTTCCATATACACGGATTAGTCCATTAACAAGTATGGGGTTTAATGTAGATAATCTACTGTCTCTTTTTACAGGATTTCCTTTGTTAATATCGTTCAGTTCCTGTTTAAAGCTTGAGTTCTGTATATGTCGTACTATAGCGTAAGTTGCGTTCTTTATCTCGGAAACGGTAAGATTTCCTCGTTTTGGTTGTTCATTCAAAGTCAAGTGATGTCGTCTGCAATATGTTATGAATCTCAGTAACCAAGCAACTGCTCTAAGCAACATTGTCCAATCGGAATAATAGTTAATGAGGTCTTCTATATGAGGTCCTGTGTACGATGCGGTGGTATTAACAATAATCTCTCTCTTAACTTCGGAATCATCACCTGCAATTTGTAGCTTATGTGGGAGTTTAGGCCAAGTCAATTCGTCTTGTAATGAGTATTTTGGTCCCTCTAGCCATATTTTAAGACCATGAATGTCATTTGGATGGATGCCCCTCGAAGCAATATCAGCTGGGTTCGAAACCGGAATCGACATAACGCCACTTCTCAGAGGATGTAGTCTGGTGAATGTAGCTGATTCTATTTCCGACGAATGTCTTAAATCGTCTGTTATTGTTGTTTATATATCCAAGTAATATCATAGAATCCGTCCAGAATGTAACTTGGTCGACCTTTAAGTCAAGTTCTTCTGACAACATAGCATAAAGGCGGCATGCTACTACAGCTCCGCACAGCTCTAATCTTGGAATGGTTGTTTGCTTTATTGGTGCTAATCTAGATTTACCAATAACAAAACTGCATGAAATTCTATTCTGTATATCCGTCAATCGTAAGTATGCGCATGCGCCATAACCTGTTTCTGAGCCATCGCTGAACACATGCAGCTGTACGTTCTTCAATTTACTGAAGTAATTTGGACGGAAACAACGGTCAATACTAATTTTTTCTAACGATGGTAGATTTGCTATCCACTGTTGCCAATCTTCTATTTCTTTCTGCGGAATGGTTTCATCCCACCCTATCTTCTTCCTATATAGGCTCTGTACAATTGCCTTAGCACGCAACGTCACAGGTGATACAAGTCCTAGTGGATCAAAAATCGCACTTACTATGGAAAGAATTCCGCGTCTTGTTAAGGGTTTTTTGCTTATTTTAATCTTAAATGTTATTTTATCGTCATTGACATTCCAATTGACGCCTAGCGCACGATCACAAGGCAGTACGTCTCCAGGGTTGAGGCTAACGACCGTCGGCGCACATTCAGATTCCGGAATCGTATTAAGTACCCTCCGGCTGTTGCTTATCCACTTTGTGAGTCTGAAGCCACCTAAACACATCAGGGACTGTAAATCTGCTGCAAGTTTAACAGCTTTATTTTCAGATTCTACAGACTTCAGGCAGTGGTCTACGTAAAAGTTTCTCTTTACAGTTGATAATACTGCAGGTTCAAATCTCTCTGCATTGTCAATGGCAGTTCTTCTCAGCGCATACGCAGCGCAGCTCGGAGAGGAAGTTGCTCCAAATAAGTGGACTTTCATACAATAAGTCATGGGTGTTATAGATAAATCTCCACCAGGCCACCACAGAAAACGTAGGGCATCACAGTCCTTCTCACATACACATACCTGGTGAAACATTGCCTCTATGTCAGCGGAAAGAGCTACCTTTTCTTGTCGAAATCTGATTAATACGCCTACAAGACTGTTCATCATATCAGGACCTTGTAAAAGTTGACTATTTAATGAAATACCTTTATATTTTGCCGCCCAATCAAATACAACACGCACTTTTCCGGGCTTATTCACATTTGCTACAGGATGGTGGGGTAAATACTATATCTGTTCAGAGTTCGTATCTTTATTTGTCACTTCTTTTGCGAATCCTTTATCAATATAGTCTGTCATTGTTTTGGTATACATCTCATTTAACACGTTGTCACGAGAAAGTTTTCTTTTCAGGTGGTTCAATCGCGCATGCGCAAGCACTAAATTATTCGGCAATTTTGTGTCATCCTGTCGCCAAGGTAATCCCATCTCGTAGTGTCCATTAACATGAGAAAGTGTAGATTCCATAATTCCAAGTGCTCTCTTATCTTCAACTGACATGGAATTTTTCTCATTATAGGATGCGTCATTGAAGTCTGACGTCCACATACGTTCAAGTTGTTGTTGTAGTATGGCGTCACTTGACTGACCGAAATGAATGTTAATTGGGGTCTTCTGTTGTCTGTTTTATTATGTTTTGAATTATTGTATGGTATTGGTCCACGAACTGCCCAACCAAGTTGCGTTCTCACTGCATATGGCTCATTACTACTTCCGGTTCGTATCTCTAGGGAATATGTGCTACCGGTGTATCCGTGCCAATTAGTAACATGACTTCATTAACGTTCACGTTCGGAATATTCAAGTCACTTAAATATGGTATATTTCTAATATCATCGGCAGTAGCTGCAGATCGCGTAGAAATAAGAAAAATTGTTTTACTGTCCAAACATTGTGAAGCTTCACTTCACTCTCACCAGAAATAGGGCTCACTGTTAGGTCCACTTCTTTTCCGTGTATTGCGTTCCTTGTTGAATTAACAGTTGAAATCTGGAAAGTAACTGGCCTACTAGATATATTCAGCTTCCTTATAAGCTTTTCGTCACACAGGGTTTTGTCAGCACCATCGTCAAGCAGGGCATATGTTTCACAGAAGTAACCGTCCCTATCCTTAACAGTTACAGGTATAATCCCCAAACATGTTTTAAAAAATGAGCCATTTGTGGCCGTACAATTTATTGAAGGTAGCGTTACAGAGTTATCAGAACCTACCGGGAACCAGCTATGTACTAATGTGTATTGTTTGCTGCTACAATCAGGTATAGTACATGATTTTTCTTTCCTACATTCATTAGACATGTGATTGCGTTTAAGACAATTGAAACACAATCTGTTCTTAACAACATATTTCTTTCTATCTGTTAAAGTCATTTTCTTAAATCTATGACATGATCTAAGCATGAACCAGAGCAGCAATAACATTTTCTTTCGTTCTTGTGTATATCACTTTCAGTATATGACGACAAGGTAGTTATTTTGCCTTTAACAGAAGTACTAGGCAGACTATGGTGCTGTTTTCTTACTTGGGATGGTACATTTTCTTTAACAATATCAATACCATATACCGAACAAGCAACACGTGATCTTTCTTCAACAAATTTCAACAAATCAAAGAATCTCGGCTCTTTGCCGCACTCATAGATTGTATGTGCAATATCTGCCCACTTGATTCGCATATGCATAGGCAAACGTCTAACAATTCGTCTTAAGTTTTCTGAATTATTTACATCAGAAACAAAACCTAATTGGGATAGGGTCATATGACATCTCTGCATATCTAATGCTAACTTAGATAGTTCGTCAATATCAGAGGCTTTAATTTGAGGGCCATACAACAGTTTATCAATGTAATTTCTGGCAATTACATGTGGCCTACCATAACGTGACTGTAAAATAGCTTTAGTTTGTCTGTACCCTTCATTAGAATCTAACAATACGCAATCTTCAATACATGATTTCGCCTCACCATTACAATATTGAATAAGGTAGCTTAATCTAAGTCTATCATCACTTACTTTTGCCTCTAAGTTTGTCTCAAAATTCTTGATAAACTTGCAATAATCTATCGCAGAACCATTAAATGTTAATGATTCGGGCTTTGGTAAGTTAAACCCTTCTTGTAATATTGTTGCTAGTTTCTCAAATGCTGAATTACTGCTATCACTCGAACCGGAAGTTAAGGTATTGACTGCCTTACCATTAAATCTTGACTGTTCTGTAACCTTAGATACGGACTCATCATCAAATCTGTTCTGTAAAAACACATGAGATCCTGCACTATCTGAAGTATCACGTGGTACATTTGTGTGACCGGAAGTAGAAACATCTATGACACGTTCATTTTCCTGATGCGTCTGTTCCGTAATTCGTGCACTTACTGGAATTTCTTCGTTACTCTCAGTAAAAACTGACTCCTCATTTCTAGCAATTTCTATCTCGCTCTCCTGTTCTAATAGTTCTCGTTCATTCTCTATTTCCTTTTGCTGCCGTTCAAGTCTCTGTTTTTCTCTCAACATTTTTAATCGGTGTTCTGCAACAAGCCGCTTTGCTTTTGCGTTTTGCATAGCTGCACGTGATGACTGTACCGAACTAGCTCTCGTGCGCACAAACACGTTATCATCGTCTGCTGCCGAATCTAAACATTTAATTCACTCCGTATAGTGTTCCTTACATTCAACAAAATTGTTTTGCTGGCTTATATAACTATTTTCTAAAGTCTCAAAAGTTTCCGTATCTTTGCACAAATCCATACATTGTAAATGTACTGGTTTGAAAAGTTCGTATCTATTACATAGACGGTCATATAATTCTTTCACTTTTTCTGTATTTTCATAAGACACCATCTGTTTTTCAATTTCATTGTAAATCTTTATCAGTTGTGAAAGATGTGCTGTTCGCGTTCTCCTTGCACTCATAAAGTCTGTTTGCTCTATAGTTTATAACACTTTTAGAGTTATTGATTTATCATCACACGAATTCACTTGTATTAATAGTAAGTATCTTTATCTTATTTCTTCAAATTTAGTAATTAGAAACCTCTGTCACATACCGCTTATTCTTCTGTCAATATATGTAATTTCTTTTCCATGAATCTGTAATTTCTCATCCACAAATATCAAACTTCTAGTCCATCACGATGACTAGTCGAGAATTGTAAAGGGTTTCGGATAACAACTAGACTCGAGTATGCGCTTCTATACAGTATATATCTTTTATTTTCACACATCAGCATAAAACAAAGCGATTCTCTGAAACAAATGATAAAGTAATTAACTAATACATTTATTTCTGATATAAACTTAACAAATAAATAATAGAATAGAATAATTAAATAATTATTTCCTATGACGAAGAATCTTAATAAACAGAAGTACAGTTAAAATCCATAAAATAAATAATCGTAACAACTGATTAAAATTAATAAATACTTCATTAGAAAATTCTTTTTATCCGTTAACAAATAAATAAATCAAAATAATTTAAGCAGCTATCATACCGACTATAATGTATTTCACATCGAAACCTTTAAAATACAGTTTCAGCTTTAACGTTTAACGCTGCTACATATAACGGAAGTTACCTTTTAAATTCATAACAAACAATTATGTCAAAATGACGCGCTAAACTATTCAGCGCGTAACGTTAAATAAGTTGGCGCCAAACAACGCTTAACGTAAGATATATATTATATATTTTAATTAGAATCGGTAATAAACGATTCTTACAACATATCTTAAGAATTTCCATAAATGATGTAAGTTTTTTTTTTATACAAATGATTTTTGTTTTGTCATTACTCTAGAAAATTTATTTAGATTTGGAAAAGATTGTGGCAGTCTATATTTGATTCTTAAATCTCTATATTATGGACAACATAAAAGAAATAATACACCGATTCAACAGCTTGCATAAAAATGTACATAATCTCGCATTTCTTTCAACGCAAATATATCTTCCAGTTTCAATTTCTAATGTATGAGAACTTAGCTTAAAAATTGAAAGTTGTCTCCTTAATTAACTATTATCCACAATATTAAGATACTCTGCATTTATACATTCTATAGTAATTGAGTTTTCGCATAAATTCAATCGATTTGTACAATGTCTGCACAAATTGGTCTCTCAAACGCTGTTTGAATAAAACAATATAGTACCAATTATTCTCAAAATTCTCTATTCAATTTGAAAACCCTAAGTTATTAATTATATTGTGTATACTTTTAGCCCAAGAAGGTCCTCTAAAGATATGTACTTGATCACTATATATACTAAACAATTGTGGTAAAGATTGTTTCTTTATATTTATCCAACATTTTAATGCTCTTTCTTGACATAAAACTGATAAAGGGAATCTACCAAGTTCTCCGAGTACTACGTTGGTCGGGGTTTGTTTTAAACCTAAAATGCTTTTACGAAACTTAATACTTCTTTACAATCAAAAGCGCCCCAGATCTCTGAACCATACAGTAATATTTGTACTACCATACTATCAAAAAGTTTTCATTTTGTTTTTATATCAAATTTAACTCTATCAAATAAAAAGATAAAAGATTGTGATAAGCTTTTAAAGCTTGTTCAGACAAATTGCTACTTTAAGATCACCATTATATTGATTTTTTATTTATCACCATATTTCTACTGCGTGACTAACGAAGAAAGCCTACAGCTATTTTTTTTGCATATTTATTTTATTATTCACATATATTGTAAGTGCCGTTTGCAATGTGTAAATTAAATTTTGGTCACATCACAACATTTGATTTTGAATTTTTTTTTTCGAAATTTTCTTAAACAATTAGCATTAATCCGGAGGTATGTTGCTTTATAGAAAGAATCTTGAACCTTATTTTCCCGTAACATTTACAATGGCAGGTTTTATGTAAATTGAAACTAAACTGATTTAAAATCGCCATAAGGGCTAAAATTATATAACCGCATGTATTATACTATAAAGTTTGGTACAGTATTAAAATATTTGCGGCGGCGTTAATTAAATGTTGAAATCTTTACGTGATAATTCATTGACAGCAATTGTGAAAAAAAAGATCAGTAACAATGTACTAAGGAAAGTGTATTCAGAATAATTGCACAAACAAAACAACAAT